TTCGAAAGGAAGAGCGTACAAACCATACTGTTATTCCTGTTAACGCACAACTTAACATCAGAAATGACACGTTTCACATTCGTGTCGATCGCGCAAACCGAATTAGGCGAACAGATTAATCACCTGCGCATCACGTGCAATCTCAACTTAATCGTATTGTGAACTAAGGCTTCCTTTAAAACATTGGGAATCATAGGAAGCTACCGAGTAACTTTCGGTAAGTCACTCATTTGTGCTTTCAGTTCTACCAGCCATAAATATAAACTAACAATAAACGACTTCACAGATGTCTTATTTACGCATTCGCGTGTTTGAGATGCCTTCGAACTCCCCGAACCGCCCGTTCTCGTGACATCTTCACAGTGCAGTTCCAATCAACTCTCCTTCAACAAGATCGTCCATTATTATTATAATGGACGATCTTGTTATCTAACACCAGCTATCTGTCACCCAGGCAATGAAATAACCCAACAGGAACAAACGGTGCTGAAAGAGTGGTCTACCTTTTTACCATTGCTACGCTGTTGAGAGCAAGGTGTTCTGCACTTATGTGTATCGGATGACAGTCATAATAAAAATAGCGTTGCTAATTGAATGTGAACGATTTAGCTCACCCTGTCAACAGGTTTCTGATTGCTAAAGTAGCGTTGCGTAAATTGTTTCAACGAATGTTCCAGTGGATGGAATTTGTTCTCTATTTGCTTTTACGTGACCCTCTTGACTGCAGTGCGTTCGAGGTTCCTCATTATTGCCTAGTGGTGATAGCTCTATTCATGAATGGTTTTATCTTAAAGGACGCTAGCAAGTCATATCGCACCACTCTTCGAATAGTCCCATGTTCCGCCTTGACAAATCTTTTACTGAGTCCCACTAGAAATCTGACTCCAGGATGTTATACCGGCATATGTTGAGTTTGTTGGTAAGTACGGTGATCGGGAACCTGCCGGCGTTATTGATCTTACAGTCACGGAGGCCATTTGGATAATCTTTTCAGGTATTTGAAGGTACCACCATCTGCTCCTGTGAAACTACCGCACAGGCATTTATCAGCCGAGGCCTTTAGTTCAAAAGAGCGATTATCTTCGTTGGGAAGTGGGCGGAAGACTGCGGTTTTTGACATCGAATGACATTGTATTGTAGTTCACAGTAAGTCAGAAG